TGTGGCACCCTGCTCATTGGAGAAGTATAACAGGCTTGTGGAGGAGAAAGAGGAAGCCACAATGTTTGCTTTTCCGGCTACAAAGTGATTTCGATTCTTTCTTTCTTCCTTTTGACAAGGAAGTACGCAACAGTAGCTATAGCTCTAATACGGTGGATCCTTCCCCTCCTCACAGCCCTTATCTTGCCCTCCAAATGAGAAAACCTGGATGGCTTTTCAGGGCCCCTGTTTCTGCCTGGATGCTATCTCATTTGGTTTTAATATATTTATCCATTCATTATTGTTCCTTTTTTTTTATCAGCCGGCTAATATTGTTCATAATTTGTCCTTATCTCAAAGCCTGACAGACAAATTTACGGGCCTGGGAGACAGATGGAGAAATGACCCCTCTCCAACCCCTCCTTTCCTCACTCCTCTCCTCCCTCCATTCCTCTCCTCCTCTCCAAACTCCAATGAAACATGACTGACAGCTCGCTGTATAAGTAGTTGTCATAGCAACCCCCCCGTCCTTCTGACAAGTGCTTTTTCTCTCCCTTGCACCCTCTCTCTGTCATAATATCCCTCTCCCTCTTTCCATGCTACACTCCCTCGCTGTTGCAACGATTGAGAAATAGACAAACAGAGAAGGGACATTTGAAAAAACCAGAGAGCGCCTAAGGCAGTCGAGTATGCTTTCTTACCCCCGCATCACACCCATTGCCATCCCTCCCCCCCTCTCAGTCTCCTCCCACCCCCGAGAATGATTTACCAACTGCAACGGGGCACCTCTTTCATCCATCCCGGCTTATCAAGGACTGCAGGACTGTATGCACATCAACTTACAGTCCTCAGTCCCCTCCCCCCTCTCCTCCCCCCCTTCCCACTTATTCTTTCTCTACATCTCTGCTTCTCCTAGCTCTCTAGTTTTCTTTCTTTCTCTTGTTGCTCCAAAAAACTCCTACTCTGCCCCATTGCTATTCAATAGGTCTCATTTCACTCTCAAAATCCTCAGCAGTCTGCATTGTTATGATGGAGCATACAGTAATAAGTCTCCGGTATACTGGACTGTGCTTCAGAAAAGTGCATACTGTATGCCGTGTGGACAGGATATGCTTCAAACTTCCAGCGGAAATTAACATTATGTAACAGGAGAAGGTATTCGGAGCATGTTTACAGGGAGGGAATTACAGTGTTATTGTTTGTTATGTGCGTGCTGTAATAGTCAGACTACATCATGATGAGGAATTAAGATATGAAATATTACTGATATAAGTTGCTTTTCTCCAGCGTCTCCAAGGCCAATGCACTAATACTAAAAAGCTTATATTGATTAGAAAAGGGTCCACATGGAGCCGGTAATCTTCAGTATGTATAACCAGGCAGCTCTCTGCCATTTCATTACTCCAGAGTTTAATTTCCAATGCATTTATTCTAAACAAGCATCTGTTTAGTAACCCAGAGTAAATTAAACATGATGGGGGGGGTGAATTTCAAAATAGTGTCACAATGAAGTTGCATACAGTACTCTGCCACAGTGAGCTGTAAATGCATATTAATGCCAGCATGCTGCTCAGTTTTCACAGTGAAGTAGCTGCTGGTTATTAGACCCCGAATTGTTTAGGTGATGGCATTTCACTGTTTACACTATAGCGCTCCAATTGAAGATGCTAGTCATGCTCTCTGGGCCCCGCTGAAAAACAACTCATAATTTCTTGTCTTATTTGGTATTCATCGATACAGTAGAAGGCATTTACTACAGGTGAGTAGCTGGAACAGAGAGATGACTCAGCAGTTTTTTAAAGCTGCAAAAGAGAAAAAGAGCACTCAGAAACAGCATTTGCTGCTAATCACATTTTAACATCTCAGCTTTACAGAATGCTGCAGGGTTGCGTGTGACTGACAGTTCAACTCACTGAGACAAAAACACGATTCAATCAGAAAAACTATTTTCATGACTTCCTGTTCATGGAAAGTACGGTTGACTTCGGCTTAAAAGTCCGGAGCAAAGGAGCTTACCTGTACAAGGATTGAATCGATTTATTTTACATAGAGAAAATTAGGCACGTTTTGGGGGGTTACGTTGTTTGTTGTTAGCTGCATGTTATGATTACATGTGTAGCTGTAAATATTCAGTGAGGTGATTTCTGTACCCAGTTTAGGGGTCAGTTCCCATACATGTGGAATATGTCACTGAGCAGAGAGATGTTGCATGTGCTGCACGGCATCAATGATGCATAGACATGAACGTAAAGATTGAATTGCAGATGAAGGATACATGCTCTTGGGCTAGACTGAATTAAGATGAGCTTTGTGGAAGTCTTACTATCTGGTTAAATTCAAAACTGAAGAACATAGGTTGTGGACGCCTTCACACAGGTACCTGAAAACGTTGCTAGCAGCAGCATGATATAGATCAGATAACATCTTGACCAAAAATTAGATAGTTTGAGATTTGTGTTGCAGTTGGATGGAAGTTTTGATAGCATTTATGGCTGTTAGCTTTCTAATTCTCTGTTAGATTCTGTATGTTTACTGAAAAACACAATTGACTGTAGACTAACACTCGTATCTGCTCTAAAGAAGAAATCAATTAGCATTTGGTAATGGCTAACAGTGGGACATGCAGCTCTTTGTGTGTCGACTGCGTGTGTGGTCATGGCGGGGGATCCGTAATCCTCTCTGTAAGAATGTGAAAGGGTATCCCAGTTTGTGCATGTACATTTTTCTCTCCCTCTTTTGCTGCTTTTTGTTCCTCCCCCTTCAGATTTGTGTAAATGACTGTAGGTGTTTTGCACTCTCTGTATGTCTGTTTGCACACTGCCTGTGCTGCAGTGTTGTAGATAAATGAGATAATGTTTCTATGGGCGATGAACACAACACCTGAATTCCCAAGGTAGCATTTTAGTTCAGAGCAGCCACAGCAGAATCCTAGACGGTGGAACAGATCTCCTCGATTATCTGTTTTCATGTGTTGTTAGCCTGTTTTCAAATTGCAGTCACTTTGCAGAACATGCACTCTATCTCTCTCTAGCCCACGGACGACATACTCTTACAAAAAGCACCTGATAAAAAAAAAAATAGAGTCAAATAAGTCTTTCTTGCGGGCGGCTTAGTATCTTTTTTGGATGTCATGCAAAAAGCCAGCCGACTGACATGACTTCACTGTGTTAGTCTTTTATGTTCCTCACCAGTATTATATAGGAATGTGATATATACAGTAGTGACCAATGATCCCGCTGTTCTTGGAGTCTTATAAATATTATTACATTCAGCAGGAGAAGACGTCTCAGTTAGTCATCTTCCCGCTGAAGGATGGATGAGGTGTCGTATTTTAAGACAAGCCACATATGAGCTGTTCGGAGAATGATCTTCAGAGTGCGGCTCATATGAAATTGATGGGGTCATGCATTCATTCAAAACTTGTCAGAACGCCCATCATACTTGAAAAAAGGAGTTGAAGTGGGGGGAACGCAAAGGGCGACAGCGGTTGCACGGCTAGTTCTGTGTGCTGCGTGTGGCTCTCCATCTACAAACAGAAGGGTATATGAGGTCTGGCGGCATTCAGGGAAATGTGTGCAGCGGAGCCCCTCCCCCCCTCCCTCGTCTCATCTCTCCGCATCCAACCTCAGAATTTATATTCTCCCTCCAGCAAAAAGGAAGGACCATCTTGGCCTTTCATTTTCCAGTTCAGGGCTTTCCTTTTTTTTTGCAGATAAATGCTCTCCAATCCACCCTGACAGATGTCACATTGCATCACTTCCGTTTTGATACGTAGCCTCTGATCCTGCCACTTGCAATAAGGAGTCAACACCAGGGATGCCCCTCCCTAGACAACGCTCTGACACGGAAGATTATTTTAAAGGTGCATCATCGGAGGTGCTGAGTGCCGAAGCCCCAGCCGGGCGGCGAATCCCGAGCACTCTGCCGTGCCCGATTGCAGGATTGTGGGTATCGCCTTGTGTCTGGGTCAGAGGACGACCACAACACGACACACTCAGTAGTCGTCACTTGTCACCCTGACTTTGTGCAATACTTCTAGAAGGGATTTCTACCGCTCTCTACCTCTTCACAGTAGCAGCCGCTAGTCGTGTTTCTCGCTCGGTGTTTCCACTGTGGCTTCACAGGTCAGAGTTGGAGAAACAATCTGTATAAAGGGAAGGTTTTAGTGCTTCTCCCGCCAGCAGAGAGTCTCTGCACTGCAGCATTAATCATACAGGGCCGGAGTACATCAGTAAACACAGTGTGTCAGGTCAAGGTAAAGATCAGATCCCACAGCATTTAACAGAACTCAATAGCATACACGCTATCTATTGAAAACTCAGCGTTATTCATGGCATGTCTCCCAGGCTCCGATGCTCGCAGGAGAGACACGCCATTGTTCACTGAAGAGCATACTGAAATATTTCTCTGGCTACACAAAAAACACTGGATCAGCAGCAATTAGTTGAGTAAGAGAGTGATAAAGAGGGGAAGGGAAGGAGGCAGTTGAAAAAGAATGAGGTTGAAAAATGTGGAATCAGCGAGAGAAAAAGGGAAGCAGAACAAGGAGAGAGAGAGAGCGTCAGTTTCCAGCCTCACAGTGTGGTGTGTAGGAGGTTGGAGCCTAGAGCCCCTGGTGCTTTTAAGGACCGAAGACTTGCTCATTGTCTTGGGTCTTTGTGTGTGTGCTTGTTGTGTGTGAAATCTCTTCATTAGTTGTCCCATTGCTCTTCCCCCAGCCCCTGACCACTCACTTAGCCTCAGCAGCTACAGTACACTATGTGTCCATGTGGGACTAAACCCAGTTATACCAGAGATTAAAATGATCAGTCTTGGAAGAGAGATAATGCAATGTGACTCAAGCCCAACCAGCGAAAACTATATCTGTGTTTGCTTCCGTGGAAAAAAAGACACTTGCTTTAAATGAAACTCAAAAGAACAATGAACGATATTATCTCTTCTGTATGTTCTCAAATTGGTTTAGTAATTGAGGTCAAAGTTATAATTGAACCTTTTTGTCTCTTTGTCTTGTTTTGTTCCAGAAGACAGGAAGTTGTTTGTTGGGATGCTGAACAAACAGCAGACCGAGGAGGATGTTTACCGCCTCTTCGAACCCTACGGAGTCATCGAGGAGTGCACGGTCCTAAGAGGTCCTGACGGAAACAGCAAAGGTAGGTAGCCATACAGTTGTCAGCATTATTTAGGTCACTGACAGAAGAAGTGACAATGTGAGTACGTGTCTAAGTCAGCTGGGGTACGGAAAATGTATGTGACATACTGTATGTCCCAGATATAGGTCAAATGGCACATAATCACATTCTAATGCCATTGTAGTTGATGTGCTAGCCAGAAGCAGGCAGGGAACAATGGTAAAGCCAATGTATGTCAAATACATTTGATTGATGTATGTCTTTTATAATTATCACGTATGACAGAAGATGAGTGAATCATTTCTTTGACTTTTTCTTTTGTTCAGTTGGTCAAGAATGTTAAATTATTGCGGCAGCAGACTCTCAATGATTGAAGTATTTTCAAATTAGAATAGAATATATCTTTAGTGTCATCATACAAAGTACAACGAAATGTATTTGGCAACTCTCACTGCAGTGATCTTGGCATGTTTTAAATATAATCTTTGTTTGAAGACAGACAGGGCAGATTAACATATACTGTATATTTATGTTTAATATGTTTTAAAATCCAAAGGCAAGATAGAAAACCAAGACTCAAGTTATATGGTAGAAACATCCTTCTTCTTTTAAGGTAATTGTGAACCCATCAAATATAGCAAGGATTCATAAAATGCTAGTCATTTTTTAATGCTGAGTTTGCCATTACAAACTCTTGCTCAGCAATCTTTTCAGAAAAAACTCTGCATTTCAAAAGCCAGGATTTCTATTCTGTCACAGTCCTCATTTTCTTTTTGTCAGTGTTAATTTAAAGCATTTAGTCCTATGGATGTACTGCAGGCCCTTACTGTTATTCCGGTACTGTCGTGTTGATATCTTGCAGGCGCTTTTAAGACAGCCAAAAACTTTTTGAAGACATCAATTCGCTCGACACGCAGCAAAGAGCCCATTCCCCAGCCAGCGCTTAAGGAAATTGTTGTGGAATTATATCTAAGGGGGTTTGAAGCCAGAGCGGTCTGACTGCCGTGGTTTGGAGGAGACAGGAAAGATGGATGTCAAAACGATTCAAATGTCCCTGCTGTGAGGACGGGGCAGCCAAGATAGATGAAAGGGCTGCAAAGCAACCATGTACATTTACTCAGTACAATTCCCAAGTACTCAAGCCCTACTTTACATTAGCATTCACTTTTTATGCTACTTTATACTTGTACTCCACTGACATTTAAACATTTCTTGTAAATGAGTATTTCCTCTCTGTGGTATTGCTACATTTCATTTCAAGTAAACATTCGTCCCTGGACATTGCATCTCTCTTTGTGGCTCTAGAAAAAGTACACTCTATCTAAGCTCTATCACATTTTCTAATAAAAACCTGGAAGAATAAAAGACCTCGCTGAGAAAAACAGGTTTTGTGTTGCACAAAATCCAATTTGTGCCGACATGACTTTAAGTTTAATAGCAGCAAAGGTTTTGTTCTCTAGTTCTTGCACAGTTGTGTGTGATGCACACTGCAGGTTTCACAGTATATTAAGAGTTAAATTCATAATTATATTGGCATAGTTTGTACTGCTCCAGCAAAGTCCTTGTACAGGTCATGCTGATCTCTAGCTCTTTTCTATCCATATCTCAGTAGGAGGTAGTGGTTTGACAGCTGAATGGGCATCTTGATTGGCTGGTGTCCACAGGGGTAAGCCCATTAAGAGCGGAAGAATGGCAGGGCTGCTGGGTCAAGCAGTACAGATGATAAGAAGAATAAAGTGTGAAAGATTAAATGAGAATAGAAAAGAAACTTAAAATGAAATTAGGTGAAATAGGGTATAATTATAAATGGGGATGGCGGCTCAGGAGTTGGCCCTGCTGCCTCACGGCAACAGACCCTGGTTCAGTTGTAACAGCTTTTTTGGTTTCCTCCTAAAGTTTAATTGACTTGATCCAGAGACTTCAAATCTGCACACACATGTAGCATTTAGACTGTGTGTAAATGTGCTTTGTAAAACACTGACCACGTGTACTAGTAGTCTCCTTTCTTCCTTCAAGCCTTGATTAAAAACAGTGAATGAATAAAGTATAATTAATAAATTACCATAAACTAACATAATTACTATTCCATTGTTCCATATGTAGCTAGACATGTGTACTTACTGTAAGGGGGCCATGCTATTCTTGAAAATGAATTACAATATTTATGAGTATATGTTTAAGAATCATTTTGTGGCAGTAAGTATTTCTAAAGGAGACCAAATGTACAGCTTTAAATCAATTTTCTGTTAGCTTTAAAAGGAGGCCATACTCCAGTTTAGTGATTGAATAATTCATGTGCAACAGCTCACTTTGTAAACCCGCAAAAGCCATCTTCAACTTGTTTTCACTTGATCTAATCCTCACAGTATTTCTAACGGACATTAGAGCCAAGAGAGTGGGTTTTGTGGTTCCTGGCCTTTTGGACAGACATCGTCATATTCACAGATATTGATCCTGTTGTGAGAACAATACACTGTACTGAGTAGTTCTCAAATTGAGTGCTTTTTAAATGTAAAACATTCTAGTCTTGAGTGTAGCCAGTTCAGCTAGTATTTAATAAGCACAGACAGGCATGTGGTGCTAAATAGCATGTTTTTCTGCTTCATCAGTGCAATCTTTAGCCTACAGCTTCTGCCTGCCTAATGCCCGGAGTGGGGCAGCCTGCTGTGCAATGAGAGCCTCTCGCTGCACAGTGATTTCCGTGGTGTCAAATACAATTCAACATTCTTTATTAATATAACGTAGGCTTTTAATCTCACTCGGTTGAATACATTTACTGCACATAAACTGTGTGTACCTGTGTGTGTGTACCTGCATGTGTGTGATGTGCTTCTGTTCTCTCTTCCAGGTTGCGCATTTGTCAAGTTCTCCACACATACTGAGGCTCAGTCTGCAATCAGTGCCCTCCACGGTAGCCAGACCATGCCAGTGAGTACAGCTCTCTCCCTTATCAACATTTCAACATATCAAAACAACTGAGAAACATACACACACATCCATTGCATGCACACCTACACACTGACTAAAATAGCTATGTGCAGTCTTTATTTAAAGGTCCCCTACTGTTTTTCATCAATATATTATAGGTCTCAGATATATACAAACATGTCTCTGAAGTGTTTGGCTCCAAATACCAAACAGATCATTGCAGTATCCCATATCCCCTCTGTTTCAGCCCCGTTTCAAAAGTGCTGATTCTGGGTCTGTCACTTTAGATGAAAATAAGGAGCCACTCCCCCTCTGAGGGATATTTGGTTAAAAAGAACACAATGAGGCTCAAGGAGGAGATTCAGGTGATGATTCAGGTTGGGGGGTTACCTTGGTTGGTGATTGGCTAATGGTTACACAAGCCAAAACATCGTTATGACATCATAAAGTGGGCAAAATCTGATCAGCTAATTTTCTATAAATGGATCAGGACACAACGTGAGAGAATCTTTTTTCCTGAGACTTTCAGAATCTCTTTACACAGAGGGGACACATGTTGATGTAGAAAATACATGAAAAAGTGGATTTTGCATAATACGGCAGGTGACCTTTAAAGCTCTAACCTCTTTTATTTTTACTTTCCCCCAACTTTTAATCAATTTATAAAATGCAACCGTCCTCATCGAGTTTTAAAAACAGATACAGCCCGAAATAGCCTCCTGTCTGTTTAATTGGCAAAAAAAAAAATTCCAAATCTAATTTCCAGATAAAACTGTTTAGAATGATAATTGAATTTTGGGTGAGTCATCAATCAGTAGTTCTGCTTGCATAATCAGTGAATATAACTCCAGTGTGAGATTACATTTGCTCGTTATGTAAGCACACTGAATGCTCTGAATTCTGTCTGTATTGGATTTACTATGAGCGCAGAGGCTGTACGGCTCATTTGTATGTGCCTCATGTTTAGGCATACTGCCTGTATACCTGATGGTTTCAAATAAAAGCTACTTATTCACCAAACCTGAATAGAGTTATTTTCCGTGACATCCGGCTAACGGACAGTCACATCCCATATTATACAGTTGCTTTTAAGTATACGTTTTTACCCTCGTTTTTTTTTTTCGGGAACTCTCGCCTCAGAGAAGCAGGGACCCTGAACTTTCTCCCATACCCTATCTCACAGATGTTGTGTTTCACTGTATGATTTCATTATCAATGGTAGCCAATGTGTGGCTCGGAGCAAAGCATAGAGGAGGACTAGATGCCGGCTGTGCCATTTTGGCTGCAACCTCTGAGTCAATCTAAGTGCAAATGACTGCAGGTCATGAGGAAAGACTCTGGATGTCCATTCTCCATAGATACCCTCCTCCTTTGTTGCTCCATTCCCCTATCTCTGCTAGCTCTCTGCCCTCACTCGTCTCTCTTTGGCAGCCTCTCGGGATATTAGGCAATAGACTTGTTTACTCCACCTTTCACCACATTGGCTGCTGAATTATTCATCTAACTATAAGCAGGGGGCAGAAGGGAGGGGGCGAGAGTTGGGGAGAGAGACAGAGAAAGGGGGGGGGGTGAGGGAGAAGGAGTGAATGGACAGGATTTATACCTCCTGCTCTGGTAAATTGATTATAGAAATCTGATCAGCATCTCATATCCTGTGGCTGCTGGAGGAGAGGGCCCAGTGTGCCTGCCTCGCTCAGATTAGCGGACCACCAGTGAGCCATTACGCCTCAGTGGGACTCTGCTATTCACAGAAAAGTGTCTATCAATGTAGCAAACATCCGGGAAAAACCTTGGACCATACATCCTGTATTAATTTGAGTTTTTTGATTACAGTTGAGTGACAGCGGCAAAACTAAGTCACGTACAAGTACATTGATGGACTGAATATATAAATAATCTTTTGTTTACACTACTGGATGCATTCAAAAATGAATACATGAATAAAGAAGTGAAACAAAAGAAAATAGACTATTGACAGCTACAATGCAGGATGCATACAGAACTGAACTTATGAAGGCCATCCATTGCCTGCAACTGTTTTTGGGGAATCGTCTAATTCTCACTTCTCCAGGGCTAATAGAGATGATTAATTGCTCTAATGAAACCAGACAAACTGAGCCAGCATGTGAGTGTGTTTGTGAGTGAGTGAGTGTGTGTGTGCATATTTACTGCCTTCCAAGGCCGTGTCTGTTGAGCAGACTCAGAGAGATGACCATGAATAAAGTCCAGCCAATAGCGTGGCAAGCTGAGGTGTTGAAGTGCACTGAATATTAACACTACGACTAACTACAGCAGTTTGATAGATCTACTGCCAATCCCCCAAAGCATGAGTTTAGAGTTTATGAGTGTGCACACACACGCACACATGAATGCATGTGTGTGCATACATAAACATGTACAAACAGAAGCACTTTGTGGATAGCACATTTGCATCAGCCCACACACACACACACACACACACACACACACACACACACACACACACACACACACACACACACACACACACACACACACACACACACACACACACATACTATTTCTATATTGCTGGTCTCTCTGTTTCACTGTCACATGCTCGTACAGCCACAGGCTGGGGTCAAAGGCTCCCTGACTGATCTTATTTTCCAGCTCGCAGGACTTGGGCTGAATATATTTGTGTTATTCATGTAGAGGGGGAGTGGGTATTTTATATGTATTGTATGTGCGATTTGGGAAGGAAATTGGAACATGAGAGAATGTACGAGTGTAGATAAATGACGATCAGAGCATGCAAAAATATACTCTACATATTCATACATGTGGGGGAGCATATACTTCTGTGAACTCATCCCAATGAAAAATGATCTGCCAATAGCTAACTACGACATAATGTCACTGCATGAAGGATGATGGCAAGATATTTGTAAGTGTGTGAGTTATATGAGTGCATCCGCAGGTCACATATAAGACCTTGGCTGGATATCCATCACACCCTAACCCATCATATTTCAAGCGTGCATACCTCTGCCTCCTATACACACCACCACTATCTCTCAGCCAGCGTTCCCACACACACACACACACACACACACACACACACACACACACACACACACACACACACACACACACACACACACACACACTGCCACTGCCACTGTTCAGAGTATGAGTGGCTCAATTAAACATTTAAACGCCAGAGCTGTAAAGCAAATTGCCGGGATTCAGCAGGGTCGTGTAGGAAGTAAGTCCCGGGACAGAATTACACAGAGACGGGGGGGGGGGTCAGGTCCGCAGAGCCGTGATGATTTTTTCAATCCGTATCCGCGTCAGCTCAGCAGGGGTTTGAGACTGTTTTCGCTGACATAGGGACTGACACAGAAATACTGGAGCAGGATGATGGAAGGATAAGAGCAGAACAAAAGAAAGTAAATGAGGTGAAGCTTGCATACTGTAGAAGAGAGAGCTGGATGATTGAGAGTGAAGAGAAGAGCAAAGAGGGTAAAAATAAACATCCAAATGTGATTCCCAAGCTGCTGGATCTTCTCCATTACTTCAGACAGAGAACACTCACATGCAAGTGCTGTGAGTGCCAGGATTTAACACTCAGCAAGACACATTGTTTTAATGTACTGATCAATGTATCACTGCCTTAAATAATGCCAAAATAAAGAGATGGTGGAAAGGCAAAAGATGCTGCAGATAGCCCAGTATATACTGTAAAGGCTGCTTTAAGTCAGGAAACAGTAATGATCTCATTGTGTAGTCAATGAGATGCAGAGTTTTAATGTCAGTTTTTCACGAGGGTGATAGATCTCCGTGCTGCTATTCATTAAACAACGTTCTGCCTTTATATTTTTAAGTTAATGTGTATTGTTTAAGTTCTGTCATCTCCCCCACAAGTATTTCTACCCAGGCAATTTACATTCTAATAACCTCATAGATTACAGTCATCCATTATTTTACTAGCCAAGCTCAAAGACGACATTCATGACTCCTTTGGTGGAGAAGATTAGTATAGTATCATGCAAAGGACATCAGTTATAAGATATATACTGTAGCATCTAACTGCATTATGAAGCATCAATACTAAATAAATAAATAAATGTCAAATGTGACTGCGGGAATCTTGTGACATCTGAAGAAATGTGAAACCCACCATAATGTCAAAACAAACATGTCAAGTGGTGTCTAGACGAGCATCACATGCTATGCACTCATGTTCCTGATGGAAGCACTCTGGTCGAATGAATTTTTAATATAAAGTTGTAACTTTGTGAATATAAAATCATGTTTTAATGTATGGTAAGCAATGCAGGCAGAATATGAGGCCATATGTTGTGGAGGAACAGACAGCTTTAGTGGCCATACATTCTCATTAAAATAGTTTTTTATCTTTCAGGCAGGGATGAAAATATGTCTTATGGTAAAAGAATGTTTATGAGAAAGATGGGATGAATTTTTTGTTTTTTGTTTTTGTACTAGCAATTTTTACAGACTGAGTCATAGAGTGACTAACCCAAGCAAACTGGGACAACATGAAGGCCTTCACCGTGTGACTCTTGAAACCAATACAGGATCAGAGTCCTTTCTAGCTCTGCACTAATGCAAGCCTGCATATGTTTAAAGTTAAAGGAGTAAAGGGTGTATAGCTTGGTCGGCAGCTTAGACAGACCTTGGCAATGAGAAGGAGGTGTAGAGAAGCAGACTTTCCTTTTGGTTCTGGGTCTCTGCAGGGACTTTTTTTTATCCTCCCTGTTTAACTCCCCTTCCTTCAGTGGCTCTCCAGGCAGCTGGGAGCCGCCTGGCAGGGGGATTCTGCTCACACTTGGCAGCTTAAACATTTAATGAGACTTTTACTTCACACTTCATCCTGCTCTCTTTATAGCAGTGGCGATTCTACTCACTGATATCCTGACAGGCCTAACTGGGAAAACCTGGGAGATAAACAAATGTGGCATTGGATGCTTGGCCGATAAACCATATGATTCAGGTGTCCTAGGGAGAACCAGCGGGAGGGAAGAGTCATTGTATGGACCTCCATTAAAGACTCCTTGAAAGAATGAAAGAAAGGGCAAAAGGCTCTTATACAACTTAACATGTCAATTCACAATAAACCATGTTTCTATCATCCAAGCAGGCACACTCCAGTCTAATCCTGATAGAAAAGAGGTTGACTTCAGTGTTTCAATTTAATACCCTCAGATTATAAAACCCAGCCTTCCCCAATAAATTAAAGTAGCAGAGTAGGAACACGCAGCTCTCATTACCAAAGAAGGTAGACCTTTAATAGCTTTTTCTTTTCTCTTTTTTACTGTGAGAAGGCGTTAAGAGTATTCATTATGTACTAGCACATCTCCTTTGTATTCGGGTCATGCTCTGCCATGTCCTGGACTCGCCCAAAGTTAAACCTCATAATAAAGTTAATGATGCAGATGGTAAAAAGCTGGACCGACACAACAGGCAAACCCTAAACCAGTAACTGTGCCAAGGTTAACATTGAGGTGACCGAGCGTAGTCTATGAGATGTTTCTTACGAGATTGAGAAACTCAATAATATCTCTTTATAGACGATGTTCTATCTCCTGTTTCTATCCTGTTTATTGTAGGATCATACAGAGCGCTCGATGGCCAGGAATAATGTTGTTCTGGAGTGACAGGAATGGGATGATACTCGCGACACTGAGGGAAACAATTAGTCAATCAGCTGTACAGATGTCAGCCGGCTTGTCAGTCTAACGAATACTACAGTCCGTCAGCCAGTTAGCAAGCCATCTAGCCACCTAGCATGCCAGCCAATCAATCACTCCACAAACTAGACAATAATCCATTTAGTCAGGCAAGCAACTAACTGGCGTCTCACCTACGATCCTTCAAACCTGTGATTCAACCTCTGTGGCAAACCAGGAGGAGAGGGCTTGGGGGAATCTTGAAAAAACAGGGGAGAAAATAGACGATACAATCTAAAGAATATCCCGTGCCTTTCTTCGAGCATCTCTACAGTATAAATGTCTTCATTAGCAGAGCTCCACGGACTCAGTCAGAATATGCAAACAGAGACAAATAAAAACTTGATAAATAATTAAAGTTTTGTAATGTTGCTGCCCATTTATAACTGCTTGCCTAGAGTCCAACACAACTCCCACATCCAACCAAACCAAGAAACCCCCCATGTAGCCCTTTAAAAGCCCCATCCCCCAACCTTCAATCCAGCCACTTCACCAGTCACCACTGCTATTGACAATCCTGCACCAATTTCAGGGGGCCTCTTATCATGACTGACACACAACCTTTCTACACTGTCAGATCAGAGTAATATTTCGGCCTTTTATGTGGATCGATTGGCCAGTTTGGGGGTGCAGAGGGGAGGAGAGGCGGAGCACACAAAAGGTCAACTGTAGCGCTAAATCATTTGAAGATTCTTAATGAAGGGTGTGTGGCAGACACACCTGCTGTTTTCATTATTGGGCTGCAGGAAGAGGTAATAGTGTTGATAAGGAAGCCACATAAAGCAAGGGGAGGCTAAACAGAGGGCAGAACGAGGGAAATTGCCCTAAAAAGCTACATTTCCTTTGAAGACCACTTTCACCAAGGTCAATAGGAAGCGCTGCCAATTGTAGCTCTTCCTTCAAATCATTGTATATCGCAGATCTTTTAACCTAATCTGTGGGGAGGAGCACCAAGGTTACATATATGTACTGTACCGGAGTGGGGAAGCTGGGGGAAACATAAAGTATTTATGTCATGCACAGCGAGGCTTCTCTGCCCTGAGTGACTTTGTAAATGTTAAACACTGATTGAAATAACGGAAGGTTTCTGTCTGCACATCTGCCTACAGAGCTGTTCGCTCAGTAGGGAGAATATTTGTATTCTTCCCATATCTCTCTTAGGTTCATGTTTATGTATGCCAGTCGCAAAATGAGGAGGCACAATTCCCTGCAATAATACAAATGTGCAATGATGTTTCATCTAGAATGCCAAAAAAGAAAGCTCTGACATGCAATTAGAGGATCTGACTGGATATTGATGTCATCACCGGTTGTTGTTGCTAATGATCATGGCATACAAACAAATCTGAAATAATAACAAAGACCATTCTTCATGCCCTTGTATTGAACCTTTTTAAGCCTTTTGTTGTGGTTGCTTTCTCTAATACTTGGTAAATCCTAACAAATCCAAAATAATTCCTGAGGTGGCTAAGTCTTTTTGGGGATAGAGGATGAAATGATGTTATTGTTGAATGACTGAGCCGGTGTTAACATCCCAGGTTAAGTGTCAATGTTGTTTTTCCTCAGATCTTCTGTTTCTCTCTCGACCCTCAGGGTGCGTCCTCCAGCTTGGTGGTCAAGTTTGCCGACACAGACAAGGAGCGCACCATCAGACGTATGCAGCAGATGGTTGGGCAGTTTGGCATCTTCAACCCAGCCATTGCCCTCCCCTTCAGCACCTACAGCTCTTACGCACATGCGGTGAGTGCGAAATGATACACACAGAACCACTCAAATAAAAACACATTCAATTTAACATACAAATATGTGCTGACTGAGGCTACAGTAGACCCTTGTAACTACAATACAGTAGGTTGTGTCCAGGATGTTGGGATTCTGCTAAATCACATTGCTCTACAAGGTCCTTTCGAGCTGCTATAATTGGGTATAAATAATGTAATTTTATATTAACAGTGGTTTAAATGACTACGCTTATGTGAAAGGTGCCATCCACAGAGAATTACAACTGGACTCTGCAGCTATTCTCAGTTCTATTAAGTATTTAAGTGTCTTTAGGCCCATTGTTCTGGTTTTGTTGCTATACAACTTAAGTGTTTAGGTTTATACTCACCGCTCTCATAGCGTCATTTTCAGCTACAGCTGGAAGCTCTTTCTGTCAAAAGGATATACATAACTTACTGTTCGCTACCTTTCTAAACTTCTGTCCCATGGATCGAACGGAAGGAAAGAGAGATGAACGCACCAAAAGCAATGGAGGCTGCGCTCACATGGGCTAACCTTTACCAGAATAGTCTCCTAAATCTTCAACGTGTAGCGACAAAACTCGTAAAATCCAAGTAATTTTAGATAACATCATCATTTGACACATAGTGCCTTTTAACAAGCGCAATGATTGTGCGCTGTCCGTATAGAGAACCGCAGTGACGCGTCCTAAAACCCGGAAGTTAACTCCTTCCGGTTCCTTCAACAAAGATTCAATGCAATTTCTCCATAGGATTTTGGAAAATAGCTGGAAATAAGGTCTGTGGTTGAAACACATTTAAGAAACGGATCACGTTTTGTTCAGCCGAATAATCTCCACATGTCTACCCTACTTTTATAATTTTCGAATCATAAATCTAGTCGCCAGAAGCAAAATGCTAACGTTATGCTATAAACGAACTACAGCAGGGTCGCTGCTTCAACGTCACGCCAATTTAAGATCCATATTCAAAAATACAGATTCAAAATTGTAAAAGTTGCAAGAGCGCAGATACTTGCTTTCAAGCAGAACAGGGCAAACAAACTTAGCGGGAGTGTTTTATAGGGATGCCAGTGATTATTCGATTATTCGAATATTCGTTACAGTCTCCATAATCTAATATTATTTTTAAAAATCGATTTTATTTATATATAATTTTATTATTAATTTTATTAATTTTTTCCTGGCTTAAAAGTTTTCAACCAAAATTATAGACCTAATTGCTAATAATATAATAGTATAATAATTTTGTAAATGGCCATTGGGTCACACCCACACCAAGTTGTTTTACTAGTAAAGCTTCGGGAGGAACCCCTGCTGTGCTGCCAGAAGCAGACTCACCACGCACACACCGACCGCGCCCTCTCTCCCTCTCATTCACACGTGCCGACTAAAGATGAAACAAAAGCGCAGGTTAAGAAAGAGTTTCCTCCTCGGGTGGAACTACTTAGAACTTACGTCCAACGGAAGGTTAATTAAAACAAACAACGGAAACCCTTTTTGGTCCCTGAGTTCTTTTTTTTTTTCTCCTCGGGGGGGGCTCCGGTCCCGGTCCGAATAAGTCGGTTTTTATTAATTCCGCCGGGCTGGCAAATAACCAGTTTTCTGCTGTTCTGGTTCTGGTGTTCATCTGTTCTGTGTG